AGCATTTTTTTTTTTGAATGAGGAAGAATTTAGGGTTTTATCACATTAAACTTTAAATCCTGTGATGTCATGATTATCCTTTTCTTTTTTAAAAAACTGACAAGGACTATTGCTTCTAAGTGTATCAGTTAGCTTTTTTTATGTGACAAGTTGCTTTCCAAATGTAACAGCATTAAAACAATGCATTTTTATTTTCTTTGCAGTTTCTGAGGGTTGGGAGTCTGAAGTTGGCTTAACTGGATAGAGCTGGATCAGGCCTTAGGAGATCATTGTCAAGTTATTGGTTGGAATCTTAGCTCTCCCGCTTGTGGGCATCTCCACAGTGCTACTTGAGTGTCCCCACAACATGATCAGCTAGCTTCCCCCCACCCCACCCAGTGAATTATCTTGAAAGAAAGAGGGGAAACCACCGTGACTCTTACAATCTCAGATGCACTCTTACAATCTCGGACACCACACAATGTCACATCTTTCCTTTTTCTGATCTTTAGAAGCAAGTCACTCTGTTCAGCTCATACCCAAGAAGGGAAGGATTAGGTTCCCCCTCTTGAAGGGAAGAATATCAAAGAATTTGAGTAACAGCCAAGCCTTGGAGCTTTCCCTGTATGCCAGGCTCTCTTCTAAGAATGTCACAAACAGCAACTGTGCTCTGATGCTCACCTCAACCCCAAGAGATAGAGCCTACTATTATCAAGCCCATTTTATAGATGGCAATGTTGAGGCAGAGAGAAATTAAATGCTGGAGAGGGTGTGGAGAAAAGGGAACCTTCTTACATTGTTGGTGGTAATGTAAATGATATAGCTACTATGGAGAACAGTAGGAGGTTTCCTTAAAAAATGAAAAAATAGAGTTAGCATATGATCCTGCAATGCCATCCCTGGGCATTTATCTGGAGAAAAACACAATTCAAAAGATACATGCACCCCTATCATGGCAGCACGATTTACAGTAGCCAAGATATGGAAGTAACCTAAATGTCCATTAGCAGGTGAATAGATAAAGAAGATGTGATATGTTTATACATTGGAATATTGTGTGTGTGTGTGCTAAGTCACTTTAGTCATATCCAAGTCTTTGCAACCCCATGGACTGTAGCCTGCCAGACTCCTCTGTCCATGGGATTCTCCAGGCAAGAATACTGGAGTGGGTTGATGTGCCTTTCTCCAGGGGATCTTCTTGACCCAGGGATCAAATTCACATCTCTTGTATCTCCTGCATTGGCAGGTGGGTTCTTTACCATTAGCACCACCTGGGAAGCCCACCATGGAATATTACTCAGCCATAAAAAGGATGAAATGCCATGTGCAGTAACATGGATGGACCTTAGATTGTCATACTAAGTGAGATATTAATACAATAAATCAGAGAAAGACAAATGTTACATGATGTCACCCATAGGTAGAATCTAAAAGATCATAGAGATGAATATATTTACAAAACAGAAACAGACTCATCAACATAAACAGCAAACTTATGGCCACCAAAGGGGAGGAGGGAAAAGGGATAAATTAGGAGTTTGGGATCAAAATGTACACACCACTATATATAAAATAGGTAACCAACAAGGACCGACTCTATAGCACAGGGAACTATACTCAATATCTTATAATAACCTGTAACGGAAGAGAATACTTAAAAAGGGAATCATTTTACTATACACCTGAAATAACACAAATAGTAAATTAACTGTATTTCAATAAAAATAATAAAAAAAGAACTCGCCCAGGATCACACATAACCAGCAAGTGGTGCAGACAGTATCTGAACCCCCAACAATCTGATGCCAGAGTCTTGTGTTTATCTTCTGCTGCTGCTGCTGCTAAGTCACTTCAGTCGTGTCCGATTCTGTGCGGCCCCATAGACGGCAGCCCACCAGGCTCCTCCGTCCCTGGGATTCTCCAGGCAAGAATACTGGAGTGGGTTGCCATTCCTTCTCCAATGCATGCATATATGCTAAGTCGCTTCAGCCTTGTCCGTCTCTTTGCGACCCTATGGCGCTTCTCTTAAACATGACACGGCTCTGCTTACCCTCCTTCTTGGGGGACTTCGCTGGCTTGTAACTGCAGCCTCGCCATGTAGGGTCTCTTGATGAATAGTTAGAACCACTGATGAATCTGCTTCAGTCATTGTCACTCCAAGGTGGATATTTTGCCTTGCACAGAGCAAAAACGAGAAAATAAAAGCAAGAAGGGGGACTTCCCAGGTGGGCCAGCGGTGAAGACTCTGCATTTCCACACACTGTTGTATTTAAAACGGATAAGTGACAAGGACCTGCTGAGCACAGGGAACTCTGCTCAATGTCATGTGGCAGCCTGGATGGGAGGGGAGCGTGGGGGCGAATGGGTACATGGATATGTATGGCTGAGTACCTTCGCCGTTCACCTGAAACTATTACAACATGGTTTGCTAATTGGCTGTGTGCTGTGCTTAATTGCTCAGTCGTGTCTGACTCTTTGTGACCCCATGGACTGTAGCCCACCAGGCTCCTCTGTCCATGGGGATTCTCCAGGCAAGAATAGTGGAATGAGTTGCCATGCGCTCCTCCAGGGGATCTTCCCAAATCAGGGATCGAACCCAGCTATCTGGCATTGTAGGCAGATTCTTTACTGTCTGAACCACCACTCCAATACAAAATAAAAAGTTTTTTAAAAAATGAGTGAAAGAAAAAAATAAACAAAATAGTAGGACAAAAAAAGACTGCACTTTCAATGAAGGGCACAGAGGTTTGATTACTGGTGGGTGAACTAAGATCCCATATGTCTCATGATGTTGCCAAAAAATAGGGGGAAAAAGCAACAAAATAACATTTTTTTTGGAAACCATTGGTTATACAATTAAATCTAGGACTAAAATTGTTTAAAAAAAATAAAAGTGGAACTCTCATTCCAAAAACACAGGGGTGGTCTTTGCACCTAAGTTTTAGCGTAGAGCAGATGTTTTGGGAGCCTGCCCACACCTGTGACCCTCAATCCTTCAAGGCATGCTAGACTAACATCTGCCAGTCACTGCATTTTGCTATCAATAGGGTTGGTACATTATGAGCCCATTCTATCTGCTTGGAGGCCAGGTTTTGGGTTGTGTGTGTGTGTGTGGGCGCACACGCACACGCACGCTCATTTGCTTGGTTGTGTCTGACTCTTTGTGACCCCATGGACTATAGCCCACCAGGCTCCTCGCTCCATGGGATTCCCCAGGCAAGAATACTGGAGTGGAGTTGCCATTTCCTTCTCCTGGGGATCTTCCCAATCCAGGGATTGAACCGGAGTCTCCTGCGTCTCATGCATTGGCAGGTGGATTCTTAACTACTCAGCCACCAGGGAAGCCCAAGTCTGGAGCTGACCCAGCCTTAATCAGTGACTTACAGAGCTGGTGGATAAATACCCTAACTCCTTCACCCCTTAGTTGGGATAACTCTAAGAGTGTGCTCTAAGCTGCCTTCCAGAAGTCCCCAGCCACCTTAAGTTTTAGTTTCTACTAGATAACTTGCTTGAGAACATCCACTGTATGTTCTTTCCCTTCCCTCTCTCACTTCCCCCATCCCCAGCTGGAGTTTTCTGGGGTCACCTCTCTGATGAACTATAATATTATGGAAAACCCCAAAAGAACTTTTTGGCCAACCCAATGCTTTCATTAGAATCCTTGTCTCAGGGTCTATACCTGGGACCCTAACTAAGACATTCCTAGATCACCATATTTGTGAGATGGTGTGTGTGTGTGTGTGTGTGTGTGTGTTCTGGGTTGGGGATGGTACTAGGAATTGAGTATGAGTATCACTGTCCAGTGATCAGGTATTGTAGGGAAATGAAAACAAGTAAAATGGTGAAAACTCTAGACCTTGGAGCCAGAGGATCCTGGTTTCAAATCTTGGGTTCAGGTAATCTTAGGCAAGTCATGTCTCCTCTTCAAGCCTTGGTTTCCATTTTTTAAAAGTAATTTTATTTATTTAATTTTGGCTGTGCATCTCTGTTGCTGGGCCGGCTTTTCCCTAGTTGTGGAAGACAGGGGCTAATCTCTAGCTGTGGTGCACAGGCTTCTCACTGTGCTGGCTTCTCTTGTTGCCGAGCAAGGGGTGTAAAGCACCTGGACTACAGTAGTTGCAGCTTCTGGACTCCAGGGCATGGGCTCAATAGTTACGGTGGACGGACTCAGTTGCTTCTCGGCACGTGGGATCTTCCTGGACTAGAGATGGAACCCGTGTCTGCTGTATCGGCAGGTGGATTCTTTATCATTGAGCCACTGGGGAAGCCCTTGGTTTCCATTCTAGTTGTACTTTTTTTTTTTTTGGTGAAATAGGCAGAGGTAAGAATCCCTACTATGTGACATTGAATGATGATGACATTAAATTTTATTGGAAACATGTTTAACAGTGTCTGATGCTTGATGGCTATGATGTTGTTTGTGTGGGGCAGGTTGAGAGGGGACGCTTGAGTTTGGGGCTTGCTTCCTTGAGGTTAGGTGGTGGTAGCTTATTTATTATTGGGTACAATAAAATAAATGGGCTTTCCTTGGTGGCTGAAGAACCTGCCTGCCAAAGCAGGAGAAACGAGAGATGCGGGTTCAATCCCTGGGTCAGGAAGATCCCCTGGAGGAGGGCACGGCAACCCACTCCAATATTCTTGCCTGGAGAATCCCATGGAGCGAGGAGCCTGGTGGGCTACAGTCCATGGCGTCACAAAGAGTTGGATATGACTGAAGCAACTTAGCATGCACGCAATAAAATAAGGTGATGAGAGATGGGAGATAGATCTTGGTAGGGGAAAGGAAAAAGTGAGTGGGAAGAAAAGAGAGAGAGAGGGAGATAGACCCACACCATGACCCACTAACCAGGTGAACTTATCTTCATTGTGGAGAAAGGAGAGACTTAGAGGCTTGTCAGAATTTCCTTTCTTAATAGAAGCAACTCAGCAGAAAAGGACGTGATGCTCTGGTTGCCTTGAGCAATTCGCGTTCTGCCCTCCCCTTCTCTCCACGCCCTCAGTTGTTGAAAACCCTGGGAACAGAGGAGAAGTACTCCTCTTTGAATGCAGGACCTGCACGATGTGGAGCTTCAGTTTCCTCCTCTTTTGGGGTGAGTGTGAGGTGGAATAGGAGGCCTGGGGGAAACAGACTGTGAGGAAGAGGGAGGACCTTGACTGTCCAGTCAGGACATCATGATTCTAGGCTGGATACTGTACAATTTCATTGGGGGAACTTTGACCAAAAAATCAGTCCAGGGAATTTATCCATCAAGGAAGAGTTTTGTTACAGTCCTTCATTTATGTATTTCCTGAGCACCTACTATGTGCCAGATGCTGTTTAGGCACCAGGGATAGAGCCGTGAATGAAGAGACAAGGTTCCTGCCCTTGAGAAGCTGACAGGAAGGAGGCAGGAAGAAAGGCAACCTCTGACGGTAATAGCAAGCTTCTAAGTTCCTCAGACTGCATTCAACCTTCACTAAATTCCTCTGACATCAGGTCATGAAAAATCCCATTTTACAAAGGAGAAAAATGAGGCAAAGGAGATGCAATCACTTGCCCAAGCCCAGTTAGCTAGTAAGGGGTTACAGCTAGAATTTAAAAGTGAGCAGTCTGGTGACTCAGATGGTAAAGAATCTGCCTGCAACGTGAGAGATGTGAGTTCGATCCCTGGGCTGGGACAACCCCCTGGAGAAGGGAATGGCTACCCTCTCCAGTATTCTGGTCTGGAGAATTCCTTGGGCAGAGGAGCCTGGTTGGCTACAGTCTATGGGGTCGCAAAGAGTTAGACACAACCCAGCAACTAACACTAACAACCTGGTTGCGGAGTCTGCAATTTTTTTCTAAACTGTGCTGCTCCAGATAACAAGTAAACAGAAGCATTTCAGAGAGTGACAATTGCTAGGGAAGAAATTGCCATAGTGTGACTAGGGATTATGTAGAAGGGGAAAGTCAGGGAAGCTATTTCTGAAGAACAGTGAGATGGAGATGACCTTGTTCTTTTTCTTCAGATGTCAGCTTTTTCTAGGTTTGATTTTTTTTTTTTACAGAAATATTCATTTATTTACTTGTCTGCGCCATATCTCAGTTGTGGCATGTAGAATCTTTTTTGGTTTCGGCACATGGGGTCTAGTTCCCTGATTGAATCTGAGTCCCCTATATTGGAAGCTCGGAGTCTTAATCACTGGATGACCAGGGTAGTCCTCTTATAACAAAGTTTTAAACCTAAGCCTTTTTACCCTAGAGCTGATATGCTTAAACATGATGCTTTGTTGCCTCTAAAATAATTAAAGAGCAAGAGAATTTCAGTTAGTGATAAGGCTTCCTGATAGCTCAGTTGGTAAAGAATCCACCTGCAGTGCAGAAGACCCAGGTTCAATTCCTGGGTAGGGAAGATCCCCTGGAGAAGGGATAGGCTACCCACTCTAATATTCTTGGGCTTCCCTTGTGGCTCTCAACTGGTAAAGAATCTGCCTGCAATGCAGGAAACCTGGCTTCAATTCCTGGGTTGGGAAGATCTCCTGGAGAAGGGAAAGGCTACCCACTCCAGTTTTCTGGCCTGGAGAATTCCATGGACTGTATAGTCCATGGAGTCGCAAAGAGCCGGACATGACTGAGTGATTTTCAAAAAAAAAAAAAAAGAAAGGTGGGAGTTAGGTTCCTTGGAACTTGCTGACTGGAAGGCTGCATTAGAAGGAGCAGGTCACTTGCGGACCTCAAGTGCTAAGATGTAGACTTCCTTCTTTGAAGTGTCAGCACTAGTGCTGGCCATTAGCGCTCTAATCCTGCCCTTAATATGCAGAGAGTGGTGATGTTGATGGTGGTGATAATGATGGTGCTGGTGGTGACAGTGGTGATGCTGAAGATAATGATAATGGCAAAGATATGGTGGTGGTAGTGGTGATGATGAAGATGATGGTGATTATGATGGTGTTAGTGACAGAGATAGAGAAGAGCTTAATGCTGCCTTTGAGACATTAAAAAAAAAAAGAATTGTGGGCTTCCCTGGTGGTCCAGGGGTTAAGACTCTGTGCTTCCACTGCAGAGGGCCCCGGTCTGATTCCTAGTTGGGGAACTATGGTTCCCCTGTGCCCAGTGGCATGGCCAAAATAAAATTAAGAATCGTCTTACCCTCCCATCCAATTTAATACTATGGATATACTATGAGTTTCCCTGGTGGCTCAAATCGTGAAGAGTCTGCCTGCAATGCAGGAGAGACCTGGATTTGATCCCTGGGTAGGGAAGATGCCCTGGAGAAGGAAATGGCTACTTATTCCAGTATTCTTCTGTGGAGAATTTCACGGACAGAGGAACTTAGTAGGCTATAGTCCATGGGGTCACGAAGAGTCAGACATGATTGAGCGACTAACACTTAACACATGGCAGCTCTATGGATATGCTATATACTTATTTATATAATGTGCATATCTCTATGTGTTCTATACATAAAATAGCAAGATTTTTTTATCTCTTCCCAAGAGCCAAGGTTTGCCTTTTTAAGGGAGAGGTTATCCCCTTTGAGAATACTTGTTTAAATGTATGTTTTAGAAAAAAAAAAAAAAAACTTGAACAGATAGAGAAACCCAAGCTAAAAGTTAGTAATTGTATTTTAGTAATTACAACCACTGAAACACATGATTAGAGTTTTAAAGCATTGAAATTTCTTTGCGTAGAATTTGTCTAGGCTCCTTCTCCCGCATGAAATAAACTGGAAGTGTAAGGATAAATCTCCCTGAGGCAGATACAGGCTGGAACCTGAGAACTTAGAAGGTGGACTTTCATTGTGTTGGTCTAAGTTTTCTCTTTTGCCTTGTAACTCTGATTTCGTTGGTTCATCAACTTGTGTTTTACAGCCTGTTACTGAAAGGTGGTGAGTCCAGCCGCTCACTGCTCAAAAGCCAGTAAAAAGGCCAAGTTGGTGGAAAGTTTGCTGTATTTCCAATGTTGGCAACTGAGGAGGGAGGGCGGACATCTGTCCAAAGGCTAACTCCCCTATGCTGGCAACCAGTGGGACAAGAGTTTTTATGGACAGAAGGAGGAGGCTACACGCAGAAACAGCATGGTCATCTTTGACAGTCATCTTCAGATTGGTCATCAGTGGTCTAACCAGGGTCATCTTGGTTGTTTTAGGTACAGTTAATCTTCAGTTCCAGGATCGGTTTATTTCCATTTCTTTGAGGCCAGTTCTCAGAATTGTGGCAGTTTATGTCGTGGTTGCTGTCTGGTTATCATGCAGTTAACTTCTCCACCTGGTGGGGCTTTCAGTATAAGACCAGCTCACAGGCTGTGGCTCGGAAAATTATCTGTAGCCCCTGAGAAGGAACCAAAAGTCCTTGACTACGTTAGTGACTACATTAATTATTATTTGGTCTCCTTTGTTTCTCCCTGTTCTCATTTCTCTGATCAAACTTATTCTTTAACTAAAATTTCCCACGGATAAAAGGCAGGCCGAGGACCTGGAGGTTGGGGGGAGGCACAAGGACTGTAGGGTCTTGCTCCATTTCAAGCCCAGAAAAAAAAGTGTATGTTTTTGAAAATCAGCTGGAACTCCTTGTAATTGAAAAGGAAATGAAGGTAATACAAACAAAATGAAACAGAAAGATGAAGTGCCAGAAGCAGGAATGGTTGCTGTGAAGACTATGTAATAACTCATGTTTGTCACTCGCTGGGGCTTTCATCTAGGCTCACCAGACCTGTTTCTAGGGACTTCCCTGGTGGTCCAGTGGCTAAGACTTTGAGCTACCAATGCAGGGGACCTAGGTTCAATCCCTGATCAGGGAACTAGATTCTGCATGGCACAAGTAAAGAGTCTGCAAGCCACACTGAAGATCAAAGATCCAGTATACTGCAGCTAAGACCTGGCACAGCCGAATAAATTAATAAATATTAAAAAAAAAAAACCCTGCTTCTAGAAGAGCACTCCAATTTTTCAGGTTGAGTCCAAAGAACTTCTTGATGCATCATAGTGTTTTCTTTCTTCACAGGGTGTTGTGGTATATACTCCTGGGGAATGTTCACATCACCCTCACTGGAATCAATGACAAGGCGTAAGTTGGACAAAGAGAATCCATATGCCCAATGTGGTCGGGAGGGGATGCTTCTGTCCCAGGAGGGTGCGCCACCTCTGAACACTTGCCACGAGCTAGTCAGTGGGCAAGAGAGGGATAACATCCCGTCTCCTGGTTCCCACCTGAGCTCTTTCCCTTGTGCCTTAAAATTGCTGTGTGGCCTCAGGCAAGTCACACAACCTCTCTGATCTTCAGTTTCCTCAGCTGGAAAATACAAGTAATAAGGGTTCCTATCACACAGGAATGTTGTGAAGCTTAAATCCAAAGAGGTAACTTTGTCAATTATCTGGCTTCATAAATGGTGGTGCTATGGGAATGGGTATGGAGTTGAATCAAACTACAACTCAATGTGAAAAGAAATGCATTTTTGGATGTTTTGTTAAGTATTCTCATCTTCCACACAAGCTCCTGCTGGATTCAGGAAGAGAAACATTGTCAATTCTTAATGTTCTCAGTGTCTCAGTTTTCTGGTTCAGCATTGTTGGGAAACTCAGTCTATATTGTAGGAAGAGTTAATCTTTCAAATTTTCTCACCCTACTCTTGTTCCTACCAAGATGATGTGTGGGTGTTGTCACAGGGGAGGCCTGTGGGATCATGCAGCTGTGAAGTATGGACTCTGAATGAGGTGTTTTGTCCATTGGTATAGCATGGTAATGGCACTGGAGTAAACTAATGTATATTTACCCCTGGGAACTGGCTGGAAAACTTGTTGCATTTGTTAGAGTACCCCAAGCTACTGCAAGGAATACACCCCAGTCAGTGGCTTAAGAAAAAGAAATTTAATTCTTGTTTGTTCAAGAGTCCAATGAGGATATCTCTTTCTAGTGGGTGGCTTTCTTACACGAGGTAATTCAGGAACTCAGATGCTTTCTGGTTGTGACTCAGCCACACTAGGGCCTTGGAGTCTCTGCAGATAGTGGAGAAGGCACATTATTAAAACTCAGGCTTAGCAGTGACACTTGTCACTTCCACTCAGGGTCACATGACCATACCTGGATACAAGGTGAGCTGGGAAATATAGTCCAGGACAGGGTAGTTGCCTTCCACTGTCAGTTTTATACCATAGAAAGGAAAGTGTGGTGTTTTTGTTTGATCTTGGGCTACTGAGCTATCTCTGGCGCAGTTAGAGCCCATTTTAATGAAATACTATGCAGCTGTTAGGAAGTGTGAGTTGTCATGTGAACTGGCTTGGCAAGTTGCCCAAAACATTATTTTCTTAATTTTTTTAAATTATAGAAATAAACATTCAAAGGTAAGGAAAATAGTATAACAAATTCTCATGTACATATCGCCCAACTTCAACACTTGGCAAATTTTTCTGCTCTTGGCTTGTAAGACTTACTGTAACGTGAAAACAAAAGTTATAAGTAGAACAGAGTGGTTGAAAAAAACTTTCAATGAACATGTCCTAGATCTGCAGTCGTCACTAGTCAGTGGAGCTCCTGAGAACTTGGAGTGTGGCTAGTGTAACTGAAGAATTAATGCTTCATTTTACTTAATTTTAATAGATTTCAGTGTAAACAGCCATCTACTGTATTGGACGGTATATTGCATGATACCATTTGCATTAAGAAGATTGTGTGAATTTATCCATTTATTTATATTTAATATATTTACATGACTGAGTTTGTGAACAGGACCTGACCTAAAGTATTCACTCTTTTTGATGGTGGTGATCTCTTGGTGTAAGAATGGAGCACAGGGGAATCTTCACTTTTAATTTTACATACTTCTGCATTGTTTGAATTTTTTACAATAAGTAATTATTATCTCCTTGGAAAAAGATGAAAGCAAATGAAACAACAGATACTCAGCACTGTATATAAAATAAATAAGCAACAAGTTCCTACTATACAGCATGGGGAACTATATTCAGTATCTTGAAACAATATATAATGAAAAAGAATCTATGTATGTATATATATGAATCATTTTGCTATATCCCAGAAGCTAATACAACATTGTAAATCAGCTACAATAAAAAAGGAAACAAAGTTCAGTTCAGTTGCTCAGTTGTGTCCGACTCTTTGTGACCCCCATGGACTGCAGCGCCCCAGGCTTCCCTGTCCGTCACCATCTCCAGGAGCTTGCTCAAACTCATGTCCACTGAATCGGTGATGCCATCCAACCATCTCATCCTCTGTCATCCCTTTCAGGACCAGCACCTGCTTTTGGTTAGTTTCCAAAGAAGCAGAGTCAGAGATGAGGATTCTTGTGAGTAACTTACTAAGGGAGGACTCCCAGGAGACACTTGCAAGGGAGGAAGGGGAACAGAGATTGGGCAGGGGGAAGAACAATTCATTCAGAAGGTGTTTCAGGATAGTTTTAGTCACAGCCTGATCCTGCCTGGAGCTCTGGAGTATGAATCACACCAGAAGCTGTTACACTCCCACGTCTGTCAAGAAATGCTTCTAGGCCAGCAAGACAGTGTGAGATGGGATGCCAATTAGGTAAAGTGAAAGCGGGCAGTATCAAGAATGGCTGTGATTCCCCCCTACCTATTTTTTTAAACTTTTTTTTTTTTGACTGCACTGCACAGCATGTCTGATCTTAGTTCCCTTACCAGGGATTGAACCTTTGGCTCCTGCGATGGAAGCAGAGTTTTAACCACCACCAGAGAACTCCCCCACCCCCTTTTTAAGGGCTTCCCAGGTAGTGCTAGTGGTAAAAACATGCCCGCCAATCCAGAAATGTAAGGAGACATAAGAGACACAGATTGGATCCCTGGGTGGGGCAGATGCCCTGGAGGAGGACATGTCAGCCCACTCCAGTATTCCTACCTGGAGAATATCATGGGCAGATGGGCCTGGAGGGCTATAGTCCATAGGGTCGCACAGAGTTGGACATGACTGAAGCGACTTAGCACACACGTACCCCTTTTTAAAAACTGTTTTTTATTTTTTTTCCATTTATTTTTATTAGTTGGAGGCTAATTACTTTACAATATTGTAGTGGTTTTTGCCATACATTGACATGAATCAGCCATGGATTTACATGTGTTCCCCATCC